CTTGTAAACATGACGAAGCCATCACATGTCGCCTTGTGGGGGAAAATCTTTAGGTCACACAGAGACAATAAGTTCTGAAAAGTGCAGGGGCTTGGTTGACTCTAAACGCACGATTATCCTCTTGTTGTTTTCACATGTTCAAACATCACATGTACAACTGCTGTCACATGGGCCATGTAAGCACTTAAACATAATTTCACCTGCATGAACACACTCACATTCCTACTACACTTCTACTTTTAGCATAAATTCCCATCAGCCTCTATGCGACTGTGTGTGTAAGTAGTCAGTGTTGGTGGACCAGGTTCAATAACCTAAAGGGGACACCGCTGTGAGACGTACGCTTTCAACTGTGAAAAAGAGAAACAGGTAAACAACTCCCTCGGGGTGAAGGTATGGATCTGCAACAACAAAGAGAACAGAGCTACCTTGCGGCTGTGACTACACACTTTCAATACCTGTCCCATTGTTCGTTCTAGCCTCAGTTTTAATAAAAAAGGTACTCCACGCTGGCCAAAAGCTCAATGGGATGAGACTTTATGAGAACAAAAAAACGCAGCAAATCACAAGCAGAGCAGAATGTGAATGAATGAATACACAAAGAGGTCAGGCATGTTTGAACTGCACGGAGCGGAAAGTGCTCTGTGCAGGTGCTCGTGCCCGCGTTCGCCTCTCTGTGCTGCATTGTTCGACTGTTGGCATGCAAGCAAGAAGCAAAGAGAGGTCAGTTTCCATTATGCACCGCAGCATAATCCCCCGCTTGTGTAATTCCCTTTTAAAAAGCCTCCTTCTGGTGTTTCCCTGGAGTTGACAAACCTGCAGCCCGCTACCCGCTGGCAGCTTTACTCCCCATGCTGCCGCCAAATTTCTTGCCTGCTGCCCCCCAAAAATAACTCGGTATCGGCCCAACCTCCATTTGCCTCAAATCCTGCCTTTTTTCTTTGAGCCAAGAACAGAACTCGTGCACAAAAATGTACATTCAAAAAAAACCAAAACAAACAAACAAAAAACAAATCAAACTGCAACACATGCAAGCCAGAGTTAAAACTTCCTCCTCTCCCACGACCGCCTCTTATACCTAACGTGCAACATGTGCATCCCCCTGCCCATGAGCAGATTAGTGCCATATCTAAAAACCACTATAATCAAATCCCATCGGATTAATTCATAGTACAAACCAAGCCATACAAAAACCTTTGCTTTGTTGTATTCACGTACTTTTTGCACTGCCATCTACTTCTACCAGGCCAATTATGCCACTCAAGTGGGAGTTTTCAATATATGGTATTAGCATCATCTTTATTAAAGGCAAATTATTCCTCCTACAGAACATTAGCCACGGTGTTCTGCCCCCTCGCCAATTTTCTGTGCTGCACGGTTGGCATCAGTCGGTCCCACATGGGAGGGGATACATACAAGAGAGCATAATCTAATATTCTGGAGTCCCCATGTAAACCTCAAGTCTTTTCTCAGCAAACACACACCACTCATCATGTTCCTCTCACAGCCTGGGAGATTTAATAAACGTTTGAATTCTGAAATAAAAAACAGCCATTAAATTATTACTACTTGTCAAATTTTGGTGAAGAAGTCAAAGTGCATTTGTTCCATTTGTCATAGGATTGCTAAAAGGGAAATGAATCTCAAGGGGTGGTATGACTCAAGGTCTGCATGTGACGGTTAACAAAGACTATTCAGAGGTTGCATCAGCCCATTGCAGTGTGATTTAGTCCTTTGTAGATTACAAGCATGCGTTGTAATCAAGCGGGAGCACAAAAAACTGTTTGGACAGCACCTTGTGGAGTTATTACTGAACGGCCAATAAAAAAAGCACTTATGATGAATGGCTGCCTTAGTCTTGGGACAAGCAAAAAGGCATTAGCACCCCATGAACCCAGAGAAGGGCTCCCTTGCTGATCAGAGAAATAATGATGAGGAGAAGGTACAGAGACCAAAGCTGACCGAGTGTAATCTATGCAGCCCACAAACAGCGGCCTAATTAAACAGAGCGTCAGATGTTGCACACACTCAGCATAAAAGTAAAAGCCTCCAATAATAATTCTCATCCTGTCTAACCTGGGTCCATCCATGGTTACTGCCCCCCCCCCGTGAGGTGCAGACCAGCACCATCACTGGTCCATTGCTGGCTCTGGACAAACAACTGCATGGGGAATCAAGACACACACACACACATCTGTGATACAAACATGTGTCTCACTTATTGGGAGAATAGTCTATTCACTTCTTGGGAAATGTGTGGATAGTAAACAAGTTTGTCATCCTGGAAAGATCATTTACTTTTCCACCAACACTATGAACAGCCAGTCCGAGTCAGTCCTCCTTGTTTCCCTGATGAAATTCTTTCATTAACAATAATTCCACCCTGACAAGTGCTACATGAACAACTAGTTAATTGCAGTCATTCAAACCTCATCAGTTCTCAACCATCTTTATTCAAACATTACTGTTTCACCCACTGTTAGAAAACAGCACAACCTTGTTATTTCACCAGGGTGCAAATTGTGAGGTTGATTGTAATATCTGAAGTTGAAACATTATCTAAAATTACATTTTTTTCATTTTCTTGATACTCAGTGAAATCACTTGTTTTGTCTCGTTTCAAGATACTGACAATCATGTCTGCGCAAATTTCTTTAAAACCTATCAACCTCCACTGACAAGTACAATTGCCCTTGAATGAGGAAAAAAATCTGCCAACAGAATTTGGCATTAAAAGGGCTAAAGCTAAAAGTTAAAGCTAAAGTTTTCTCTGCCGCCGAACGTGGTTTCTTGCAGGGAGGAGTGGGTGGAGGTGATGTTTGCCTGACAAGAGCTTCAGCCATCGTTGTTCTTTATAATACAAGAGGTTATAATATACCCTGTGAGCAGCGCTATGTCTTCGGGGCAGATTGGAGACTGCAGTGAGTCACTATTGGAAAGTGATGAGGTGGGCCGGTGCTAGCTGGTTAGCATGCTAACTTAAATAGAAGAAAGGACGTGATAGAGACAAGAGTTAACACTGGTGTTTTGCAGCTCTTGGTGAGTACAGGAATGAAGGTTGATGCTGAACTCGCTGAACTGTTACTGCTAAAGCTGGCTATGTAACGATAGCAAAACTTACAAATAGCTCATTTAAAGTCTAAATGACTGTTTTATGCTTCAAAAATAGCCACAATAGATTGTAAAGGCAATATCAAAGTATTGAAAACATACTCTATCTATATAACAGTCTTGCACAATGACAATCAGAACCACACATGCTGCCCAAACTGACCAAAACCAGACAACCTGTCAGCTGAGGTGCCTCAAGACTGCAACTATGCCAGGGTTAATCCAGGGTTATTCACGAGACCAAGCCGCAAGAACAAAGAGTCATATGACCAGCCCACACTGATGAGGCAGAGCTGCAGTGGTGGGATAAGAGGAAGGAGGACTAGAGCCGATGAGGAATGTGAAGTACAGTGTGGTGCCTCCGGTGCTGTAGACATCTGAATGGAAAAAAAAAGGTAATCCTGGAGGATTAGGAGGAAAACTTCCAGCACATAATCTTGTCATTTGGCACATATTTCAATAGAAACTAACTGACTCTGAAAGAAAGTTCACATTTCAAATGGTAACAATGCTGTCAATTGTCAATGAAATGGGTGTTTGTTTAGCTTGTTTATACATAAAAACTGCAGGTTAACTAATCCGAGGGATTCTGCCTGCTGTGACCAGTAATGAAATAATAGCCAAAAAAAAAAAGTTAATTTTAACATTTCAAATTACTTCCAAATTGTCTGCGGTCTGGTGTCTTCTGTGTATTAGTCAAATACAAATAGTAATACAAATCCCAACACTGAGTCGCACCCCATTTAGCAAAATAATTATTCTCAGGGCTTAAAAATCCTCCTTCAACAAGTCTCCTTTCATCTAAATTCCCACCTTAGATTTAGATGTTTCTGTAATGAAGAGTCCATTAATTCTGTACAACCAATTGAGATTACAGCATCAGAAGTACATATATGTATCATGAAATGGCCAAACGGACTACATCTCTGACCTGGCAGATTTGATGCCAGACTTTTCCCACTGGGTCACACAGGAGCACAGAAAGTGAATCATAGTGTTTGTAAAAAGAAAACTAAATCACATTGAGGCAATTCAAATGACAAGGAAATAAAAAAGAACAAATAACAAGACAAACAATTGCTGTCTCCTGCCATTACTTTCAATCAATACGTTCATGAAAAACGTAGGTTTAATGTTTTTTCGTGGCCTGATGCAGATGTCAGCAGTGTCAGTGGAGCCGTCAGCATACAATCCAGTATAACTAATTATAGAGAATGCTGCTTCCTTGAAGTGTAACAAAGATGCTGTGAAATAATCAATGCTTGACCTTTTTAAATAGCCCTTCCAGAGCTTATTACAGCACAAGTGATCTAAACTGAGTCAGAACAACATAGACCCAACACGGAGGTGAATTAAAGCAGCAAACTCCACAACTAGTGTGCGTTACTTGAGTTTTCCCTATAGTTTTATTCATGTGTTTATTTTTCCTCCTAGAACAATACATCCCCTTAAACAGAGCAAAACAAAAAGATATGTGAATATAATGATCTTCAAACTGCGTTAGTCATGCCCTGAGTATTAATTAGTGGATTCTGAGCTGCTGATCATTAAAGATCAAGACCATGAAGTCTCTTGATCATTGAATGGAAATTAAAACGAATAATTTAAAGCTGTATTCATTGAATTTTAGCGACATGGGGGCAGCAGCCGATAATGCTATTATGGCAAGGTAGCATATACATTATTTAAAAAGTTGAGGGCCAGAAAACCAAAACAATGAGCTGAAGACACTAAAACGCCACACAGAGCTCAGGAAAATTGCAGCGTTGGGTGATAATTCTCTGTTGGTTTGTCACTACAAGCGACACCTTTCACATCACACAGCCATTTATACTATTGTTAAAATAAAAAAAGTTGATTAGTGCAGCTTTAATCTCAGAATAGTATACCTGGCTCTGAACAGTTCTTCGGCTCCGTTTCGTTGTCTGGTGCTGAAGCCATTAGCCGTCTTCCCCAGTGTTCCTGGTTCGGATGTCCCTCCACTAACATCCCATGGCCTGCAACAGAATACAAACAGCTTTGATTATCAGACATCCACATAAATACAGCATCTATGCTTGTTGCCAAATCTACAGCACACAACATGTTGGAGGTTCCTGCTCCTGGAACGAAATCTTTTTCTTTTGCTGCAGGGAAACCTTGAGACTCCATTTTGCATATCTGAAATACTGCAATCAAAACCTAACATGGCCACTCTTGCACAGAGCATCTTTCATGACCCAAAAGATCCATGATCATGAATGTGGTCATTTCTCAAAACAAGGGTGCTTTCCTTTAATCCCTTAAAAGTTTTCATTTATGTAGATATGACATTTTCATCCAGCAGCGGCAATAACACATCAAAATGCAGCTGCTGTGCCATTATGTTTTGGGACGGCAGAGTGGGAGGAGGAGCGTACAAGTTTCATTTTTTCATTAAACTGCTCTTAAGCCTCTGTAATGAGGACATAAAAAAACAGCAGTCCCAAATCTATTATGTAAAAATCATGCCAACGAGCTGAGCAGCAGTTTCAAACTTGAAATTTCCATAAAATGTCGCCATACAAATGCAACGCTGAATTGACAAAGCAGTAACTTACTGCAGGATGATTAAACAGTATCGTTGTAGACACAGTTATGAGCAGATCACTGGGGAATACCCCGAGGACTGATGGTCTGTGTTTCATGCCAGAGACCACCTCTGTCTGACTTTTAGTTGTAGGTTATACAACAACTGTGAAAGACTTTCTATGCAGCAGCAGACTCACATGATCTCAGTGTTTGTAAAGGTCTCCCTGACCATGTGAATGTCTCCTTATGATCAGCCAGTCTCAGCAGGCTAATTTCCCCTCTGGCAGTGTCTATGATGAACTAATGGTTCGAGACAAAGGAGACAACTACTACTTTAAAAAGGGCAACTAATTGAAGAGCATTGTCTAAATGCGTTTTTCAGGTCAGTGTATAACCATCGAGGAACAATTTGCTACACTCACAAGACACTACACTCAAATATTATATAGAGCATTGTAGAGCTAAAACAATGAAATGACATTTTATTGCAGATGTAACAGTATCAGTGAATATGCTGGCTGAAAAGTAACAAGTACATGCAGCACAAATACTTGAAAGATTAAGATGTTTGAGAGATCATATTCGCTATCAATCAATCTCTTGTTTATTTCTCCTTTGGTCCGATTTATGTAAAAATGAGAAACTTTTTAATGAGATGTGTTGATTTGATACAATAATATAAAGTTTTGTGGTGTAACATGAAGTGATATGCTGTCAAGAATTACAAGAAACTTTTGTGAAAACTGAATAATTTAGTGTCTAGTGATAATGAGAGAATATGTCATAACATGAACAATATCACATTATATGAAAAAGATCTGGTCAAAACAAGAAAAGTTCCTCGCTATGACAAGAAACTGAGTGAATTTTTTTTGTAACAGTAGCAGCAATACACTGCTGTAATAAAATAGTTTAAAAAGCCAAAGACAGTTAAACAAGGCCAAAGATGATGCCATTAAATTACTTGTTTTGTCCAACCAACGGTCCAACACCCAAAGATATTCTCTTTAATATCACAGAAGACAAAGACGACAAGGATTGGGAAGTTTAAACGAGTAAATGTGTAAAATTTGATTAAAAGATTATTTAAATAATTGATTATTATTTTTTGTCAGTCAACTTATCAGTTATTCAACTAATTGTTTCAGCCCTACTTTTCTGCAAAAAGCCTCTATTTACACATCCAGCGGACACGGAACAACATTGTGCCTCTGCCCACCCAACAAAGACTCACTCTACTTTTAGCCTCATTTTCCTCTCCACCAGCTCCTCAGGGAAATATCTGGCTCTCTAGCTGCTGAATACTCCATCATGTCCACCAACTAGTGGCTAACTGTGTCAATTTGCCATTTGGTGCTGAGCAGGTTAGTGTACACTGAGTTTGTTGAAGCTTCTGGCTGATAACAGCTCCCCCATTCTGCATTTTGAACTGCAGGGTTAATGAGCAACATTAAATGCAGTCATTTTCATTGTTATTATAAAAATATAGGTTAGGTCGGCTTTAAGGGATCCTTTTCAAAAGAGTTAATCTGCCAACATTGAAACACAAGACTGTCTTCATTACATGGCTGTCTATCCAGTACAGTTAGACAACCTGAAGATCAGCAGGCACTGGACAAGCAGATTGTACACGAGGCCACTGCAGCTGCTTCCCACAGTTCTCCAAAAGGCCAAACCCTCCAGTCATCGCTCCAACCTGTTCCTCCTCACTAACCAGCCCAGTTTCACTCCTCTGCTGCCCCTGGTCTCCTTTTTCATTCTATTCCTGCCATGCTGACAATATAACACTGTCCAATTTGATGTCAGGGGAAGGACATGGAAACATATGGACCCACTGTGCCAAGAGATTTCTGTCATACTTAATAAAAGAATTATGTGTATGGAACTGGGAGTGATCTTTCACACTTACACAACAAACTGGTTTGGACATTGTGGATTATTTCAATTTATTGGCTAATTGTGCATGACAGTCCATCATAAATGTAATTTCTCCAGGCAGTTGTTTGTGGAATCACCTCACCAGAACTATGTAATCTTTAGTTTTTAAAACACAGAATCTTTGACCATTTTCTGGAAGACTAAACAAGGCAGGACAACTGCGTGTGTGTGTGTATAAACGGGCCGTTCAATGTACTGCGCTCTCGCTGCCAAGAATCTGAAGAGGAAAACAAAGACGACGTGATTCTGTCAGTACTTCTAGGCAGGCTGGAGGTAAAATAAGGACTGCAGTCTGTTGTGGGCACAGCGTTGCTGGCTCATGCTACATCCACTTTACTCTCCAAGCCGACTCATTTTGATTAATCGTCTTATTCCTCGTGTTCAGTGACCAGTGTTCATAAGGAAATTTTGATTACTCCTGATTAATCCTTGATTGTGTGACAGCAGGAAATCTCAAAAATGTCACATACTTTTTGTAGAATTTGGTGCCAAGAATTTGACTTTGTGAACTGGGTCTGAGATCTGAGATAATCAATTAATCTAGTGCTTAAATAAACGATTAATCAGTTAGTTAAATTGTCAGAAAATTAATCAACAACTGCCAACAATTCATAATTTTGCAATTTATTTACAGAGCCAAAACAGAGTTTTTGAGTATTTGAATATCTTTTGGGACATTTTTCACAAATATCTGACGTTTTATGCGATAAACAATCACAAAATCACAGATTAATAAATAATGAAATTAATCACTAGGTGCAGCATGAAATTTATCATTTTATTCAGTCAACACATAAAAAGGCTTGTTACTGCTTTAAAGAAAATGCAAAGATGCGTCTTCTTTCCCTGATTTCGTGCTTAATACTTCGGTTCAGCTTCTGGTCATGCTAGGTAATTTGGTTTTGGGGTCTGGGGACTTGTGTTAGACATTTGATACTCCTTTGACACGTTACAAATTAAATGAAAATGATCGGATTTCGTCTGACAAAATATGAAGAAAATGATCATTTTGATTATCTAATAATCTGTCTAATGTTTTCTCGGTTCATTGTTTTGTCTGTAAAAGGTCAGAAAATAGTTGAAAATGGAGAAAGGTTGTAATAGCCCAAGGTGATGTATTCAGCTACCTTGTTGTATCTGGCCAACCGTCAGAAGAAAAAGAACCGAAAAAGATTAATCGATTATCAAAATAGTTGCCAATTAATTTTCTGTTGATCGATTGTTTCAGCTCGACATTTGATTGCAATTTCCAATTCCAATGTTTGCACCGGGTCAACTTATGTTGGGTGACTGATGGGGTGTCACAGCAAGATTTAGCATTGTTCAGAGTTGGTGGAGGTTTGCATTCTGTGCAACTTCCATTATCAACTTCTTAGTACATACACAGGAGAGAAGCCAACCTGAAATCCTAAATACTGCAATGCAAAAAAAAAAGAGGAACTAAATTTACATGGTTACACTGGAGCAGAAACAAATGAGCTAAAATGGGCTCAAAAAAATGCCATGACTACACCTCCAGCAGGACTGTACTGAGTAGCAGAGGAACAGAATACCATGGTACTAATGTCATCCCCCAGATTTTTTTCAATCAGCTCAGGAAGGAGATGGACCAAGGACAGCCATCCATCGATCTCCCTGTGCTATGAACGCACTCTTACATGAGTGCTCAACATCTCCAGCACAGCCTGCCCCCACACTCCCCTCCCCCAACGCCATCAGCCTACTGCAGCTACCTGTCAGAGCTCAGCCCTGCCCTGCTTCTCAAAAACACCTGTTCTGGTCTCCCATGCGCAGCTCCATCACACATGCACACACGCAGCCCGATCAGCAAGCACGACAGCATGTTGTGCCCCACCCCTCTTTATAGAGATGTAACCCGGGCGTAGTACATCAAATCCCATCCATCTGGACCATTCAGCACGTCAACACCCCCCCCCCCCCCCCCCCCTACACTACTATCAATCAAAATGTGTGGCAAACACAGGGCACAGGTTTGTTACTGTGACATGACAAATGCTTGCTTCTGTTGTGATGGCTGAAAGATGAGAAGGCCACAGCTATTCAGTTAGACAGATCTGATTATGGTGAGCTTTGGGTCTCGTGGGTTCCGAGGGTATTTCACTTTCTCTCTCATCAAACACTTTCTCATGCATGTCACCTTGAAATCCCACCACCACCACCACCGCTGGTCAAACAGTTGCCTGAAATTCACAAGAAGCGCCTTCTGTCAAATAACTCCACATGACAAACCACAGTGTGGGTCAGGCGAACTTGATTAAATGAAAAAGAAAAAAAAAAGGCAAGCCATTAGTGACTGTGTTGGGGGGGGGGGGGAGGGGGGGGGGGGCTTACTTTGGCTCCCACAGCCTGCCTTTGGAGATAGGAGATTTGCACTCGCCTGTATGATATCATTCCAGAATAATCTTTTAAGCCTCTTGTTGTTTTTAATGTAATTAATAAAACTCCCGATACATCCGTTAGAGATCTACAGTCAGGCAGTAGCTGTGGTGAATTTACAGCCGTGTTCAGCCCTGAGGCCTAAGTGGATGCAGATGGACAGATCCCACGACAGGGTCTGGGGCTGAGGCTTAGGGTTAGAAGCACTTTGAGGGGGGGGGGGGAAAGGGGGGGGGGGGGGGGGGGGACCATGCCATCCTCTCTTTCATGCAAAAATTCCTGACTTAAATGTAGCAATAAGGCTCACCTCCATAGCAGCTCAACTAAAACATGTTCATCAAAAATTCATGTTGGCACTGAACTCGGCCTTATAGTTCTGTCCTGGGTGTGTGCGGTTTGTAGTTAACCTCTGATCCCAGTGGTGTGTCAGTTATCATTCTTCACCAGCAAAATGTCAAGGTTGGTCGTTAGATTACATAACAGTGTGTGAGGCTGTGTGGGATGCTCTGCGTGTCAGTGTTTGCACGGGCCTGAGGTAAGAGTTTTCACATGTGTGCATGGGAGGGCATGCTGTTTGGAAAGAGTGTGTGTGTGCGTGCATGGGGAAGCATCACACGCATCACGCATGATCAGCGCACACCTCGGACATCAGCTATGAATATTGCAACATCGAGCAAAGCGAACAGCATCTCTGTTCATCCGCCCTCTTTCCTAAATGATCGTCAGTGGCCTCTGCGTAAAAAATCGGCATCCCTCAATCGCCATGCCTTAACCTGGCAGCAGCGTGATGATGCTGGAGTGTGATTGAGGTTGTCCAGTGTGTGCAATGGTGTGTGTGTGTGTGAAGCCCCGGGCCAGACACGATGATGCCAGCATTAACCACGAACCTGAGCTCCAGTGTTGTGTGACTGACGACATGCGCCTGGCGCCAGAAAAAAAACAACACAAAGAGCCACATTTTGGAGAGAAAATGGGGCCAATGCGAAAACAAACCAGAACCCTGATTGGGTTCGTTCTGGGGTCGGTTACTTGATCGGTGCGTGCATGAGCAGCGTGAGGTGCGCTTGTGCCGTGATTATGAGCCTGCCTCTCAAATTAAAAAACGTGCCGCTGCCACAAGCGCGCACACTGCGGCATATACGAACAAACAGACGCAGGAGTTCACCAACACTGAGATAATAAAAAAAAAAATAAAAAAAATCCTGTGACCTGACAGTAACATGTGCAGCTGACTTTTTCTACTGAGTGCGTTGGGCCAGGAACGCTGAACGCATTCTATGCTTATTTTATGCAAACTACACTTCACCCAAATGGGCACAAAAACCACAATCAGGGGCATCACATACGCATTTTGGACAGGAAGGTGGACCTGCTCCAGTTTGAAAACGCAAACGAATATCATGTTTTGATCGCATGCCCTTGACATTAAAGCCTATTGGCTTGTTACTGTGATCGATAGGAGCGAGCTGTGTGATTACAATGAACTGATGTGCATGTGGATGCGTGATTACACTGCAGATTTCTGAGCTGTTTCGCTCCGTCCTCGGCTCTCTATGCCCCCGGTGCATCTCAGCAGTCTCTCCCCACTCACCTGTCTTGGTCAACAGCGCCGACATGCTCCACGCCACGAAGAGGACACTGCAGATAAAGCACACCTGAACGAAAAGCATCTCCCTCCTCTTGCGAACTTTGAATATCTTCGCAATTATTGTCTTTTTAGACGCGCTCACGGTGTCGGTGTCGTCCCGCTCCATGCTTCGCTGCTCGACCGGCGGCCACTTTCCCCCTTTTTTTTTTTTCTTTTTTTTTTTTTGCGTCCTTGAGAGCCGAAGAAACTGCCGCCCCGCTTTTCTCTTCACACGGAACAGAGTCGGGATGTGGTCCTCATTTCAAGCCGTCCAGGGCGCAGATGGAGAGTGTAGTGAAGCGGACAGTGTCCCCCCTCCTCCTCCTTTCTTGTCTCCGCCGCTGAGAAGATGCCTCTCTGCTGCTGGGGCTGGTAGACTGGGCAATGACACGGCGGTCAAATTCCGATATAGGGCACAAAAATCAATTCAGCGATGCTCCTGAATTCGGATTCTGCGAGAGGACTTGTATCGGAAGAGCTCCCATTGTCACGCGCATCCTTCCTGTCCCGTGAAGAAAAAAGAAAAAATATCAGCTGCAATATCCTCTCTCCGTGTAGTTTCTGTGTTTGGCATGAAATGCGTCAATGTCCAGTCACAAACGTGGAGTCGCTCAGCTGCGCCGTATCGCGGTCTCCACGCACCTGTGAGCCTGTTAAGTGAAACCAATCTGTGTTCATCAAGGTTAATTGTTAAATTCGGCCAGCAGTCGCGCCGCTCGCCTCGCTCGGGCGCCTCCCCCTCCACATGAATTCCTCCTCAGTGCAGAAAAGCCGCGTGCACATTGGGGGGGGCGAGAGAGCGAGCGAGAGAGAGAGAGACCGTCAGCTCCTCTGTGCTTCCCAGCTTTCCTCCTACTCTGCGCCCTTCCCCCCCCCCCCACCCCCCTTCTCAATCAAACCCTTTAACTTTCCCGAGGATTGCATGTGCAAACAGCGTGTGAAAAAAAAAACATGCTTTGCTTGCTCTATCTCTCCACTGCCAAACCTGGAAACCCCCAAACAGCTGCCCATCGATCACTGGCGATTTTTCACGTTATTTGTGCATCGCCGTGAGATCAAACGTTCAGGTTGAGAAAAACCCTATCATGCTACTCAAAACAAGACACCCTGTATCTCACCACTGCTCTGTTATGAAACCAAATCCAATATATTTCTGGGTCCCGAGCACAGCCCCTTTAATAACTGGCCTACAAGTCACCTGCTATCCTCATTTTGATATCATGCTGAATAATTGAGGTTATAGATCTTCCAGCTCAAGGGCAACAATGCCTGCTTTTTTCTCCTGCTCCCGCCCCGCCACCAAATCTATAACCATGAAATAATTTCTCATTGCCTAAAGGTTTATTGGTGCCAAGATTATAATGGCTTACGTTTTGCTCTTCAGAAAATTGCTTCACACAAACAGAGCCGTTGGACCTGTACATACTAGAAATGAATAATGTAATGGGGACCTTTGTGTCAGTTGTAAATTAAATGTGGGTAAAAATATGTCCCGGAGTCAGGGATCATTAGAAAGCAAACAATTATCATCATGTATAAAAATCAATTGTATATTCAGGAACATGAAATACCCTGGCTGTTCTCATAACTCACTTCACTTTTATGATTTTTGTTCACAAGTGTATAAGTCAGCTTCAAATGCGGAGTTGAACTGGATTTACTCTCCACTACAACACCACTAATTAGTGTTTGATGGCTGGCAGCCTTGCAAGTGTGTCACCCCATGCAGGCCAACTGAGGTCTCTGTGGAGTCTGCAGGCTCCATGGCATGTGAGTGGTGAGGGTCAGGTGTCATTCCTCACCTATTATTTGGTGTTAGCTATTGTCACCTGGAGCTGTCGCTGTGGTATATAGGAAATAATTGGACAGTTTTCTTCCCTGGCAATTATGTACATTATGTGGAATAGACTTTGATATAAGCAGCCTGTTATTATGACATCTGAATCAAATGTAATTTATTGTTGTGGTTAGAAAAGTGTGCCACAAAAAGACTACATTTTTTTTCAATTTTTCACCCCCAACTAATGGGGGAGTGAGATTCAAAGTTATTTGTTTGAAACTTCCACTAAGTGATTAAACTTTGCCGCAGTGTTGGTGAGAAAAAGCCCTGCCACCCTGCTGTTTGTTCTAATGCAGCGCTCCTCTGTTATTAACCAGCTGTATTTATAGACTGCTCCTGGAATAATTAAGTTGCTTCCCATTGTTGAACTTTTAATAGCTTGCCCCATTCAATTTAAAGCTGATAATGCTTCCACTTACAAAAACTTCAAGGGAAATAGGAAAAAAGGAAATAGGTTTATTCACATATACGCTCCTTACTTCTTGGCCAAGCGCAGTAACATCACATCCACCACAAACAAGATGTCACGTGTGAATTAGTGAGCTTTAGAGGTGCTAATAGGCGGACTGTGATAGCTTTGAACAGAGCCAGGCTAGCTGTTTCCCCCTGTTTACAGTCTTTGTGCTAAGCTAAGCTACTGGCTGTAGCTTCACATGTACCTTGTAAATATGAAAGTGATGTCAATCTTTTAATCTAACTCTCCGAAAGAAAGCGAAAAGGCATATTTCTCAAAATGTCAAACTATTCCCCTAACGCATAAGTGCAATCTCGTCTTGAAACTAAAAACAGCACACGTGTGTTGGGGACTTGCGAGGCTACAGAGTGGAGACTGCTCTTGCTGCCTCCAGGCCTGTTGAGGGTCACCTTAGCTGCCAAGATAACAGAACAGGAACTCTGCCACAACCTCGTAGCCATCTATGCAAACAGGTTGACAAGGCTGAAACAGCATTTCAACTTTTTTACCACCACCACTGCTGCCCACTTAAGCAAAAACTGAGCAGCCTGTAAGGATCAAAGGGTTCACACTCCAGCACAATCTCCTGCAGACCAAGGTTATGTAAGATCAGGACTGTTGCTGTCGGTACAGCATGAGGCAGACCTCCAAAATAATTTACTCCATCATCTCCATGAAGCATCGAAGACGTTGTGTGGAGGCTGCTGGTTAAGTATGGAAGGCGTCACAGGTTATTAGTCAGAGCTTTCTGAATCTGTCGCCAGGCCTTATGTTTATCCTGTAGCTTGGGTCTTCTGCATGCACTCACACACACATACACATCAACATGTGTGACCCGTGCCCATGCCAAGGGATTAGTCCCCTCCGGGCCCCTGCCCACACAGCAGGCAGGCAATCGGGGAGCAGTGCCAGGGCCTGCTTACAGAGATTTATCCACTGCTTTACACTCCCTGGCTTGGTCAAACATACACACATGGCCTCCTTTGCCTTCTGCAGGACCCAGTGAATGGCTGCTGATCTGCAGCAAAGATAATAATGTGCGTAAAATATGTGGTTTTAGCTGCAGGGAGACAGCAGGTTGGCTTTGTGGGAGTGTTTTACCGTGGGCAGATGTCAAAAGGAGCAGTCAGAGTAACATAAATGTGTTGTTTGATATAAATGCCAAGTATGTGTCATGTCCTTGCACTGCAGATCAATAATGACTTGATGTCAAGGGTGTTAACAATGAACTGTGTGAATGTTACACAACAATTGCCGTTTGACTCAGCACTGCTCATTTCAGCTTCCAACTCCAATTATTGCAGTGATGATTCATGTGGTTTATTCACTGGTTTAATGCAGTAATTAAGATGCAGTCTTTAAGGGCAGTATGACAGAACCATGGCACAGCTTACATAATGTTTTTGTGATTGTGTTGTTATTTTTTTCAATGTGAAATTTACTATGTGGGCTGTTGAATCAAGCATTGACAGTGTGTGCCAAACAATGCAGTGTAGATGTATTTTTTAATGCTCTTTGTATGTAATGGTTAGGTACACAATGAGGCAGATAATGAATGATAATCAACTACTTCTATTTGCTATGATAACACATAACTACAGCATGGCTATGAATAAAATCTGAAATGTGGGCTGAGTCATTCAATTAACCCAAAAAAGTCCCATTAGATTTTTTTCTGCAAGCTGATGTAGGAATTAGTTAAGAACTGAAATAACACGGTTGTGGTTTTGAGGGTCAGATTTTGCCCAGTTGTCGTGGAAGACTAGATGTTGAATGATAAATTTCCATTTTTTGAGTATTTTAAAGCAACACTCCTCGTAACTTTTGAAAGAAGAAATAATCTTCCTCTTGCAATTGAAATAAGCAATAAAATTCATGTTTGCCCAGTTCAATACACTGCAAGACTTTGCTGACACATTAACATTTCAAAGCTTAATGAGATGAAAAACAACAATTAAACACACCTTAACACAACAGTTGTTTTCCTGCTCAAGCAGCACTACTCCCCAAGACCTGCACACAGACGTTAATGTGTAAAAATGGTGCAAAAATTGGTGGTGTTTTCCTTTACTGTGCCCTTTTACTGAAATTACCATTTGTGGTCACAGGGTCTGTTGTTCAGTAAAGGTTACATAGTCTTGTTTTTTAAGGACTCAAAATGGAAATTTGAGCATTTGCAATTCCATGACAACTGGGTGAACTCCATCTGCTGATTAGGATCAGGAGATATTATCGAAAAGCTCCAGAACAGCTACTAAATGGTCCTGTTTTAGTCTTGTCCCATATAAGTTCACATCAAAAACAATATTTTATCTCCAAGTTTAACCCATGGAAATCATATATTAAAATCACATTTTCAAATTGATAACTTTCAAAAGTATACCTTTAAATTCTCTCTGGTTTTGAATTGTGGGAGAAAATGGCAGATGGGATACAGTATGTATTTGACTGCACAATGGCTACATTGTATTGGTGTACCTAATGTATAAGTGGGGATGATTCTGCTGAGGTGTGTGTGCATGGTGCAGAGAGATGACTAGGTGACACTGAGCCAAAGAAACAAGTGTGACACCTTCCATTAATGCACTGCTGGCATTGTAACTAATACCCTACTAATTATCTGAAGCAAGCAAACAGATGGAGTGATGAATACCTCCAGCTCTGAACCCCCTTTTTTTTCTTCAACCTGCCAACTATTGCCGAGCCCACTTCAGCCAATGGCTGATACTAACAGTACAATACAAGCTCGGTGTGCATGCACACACAAGGAAATGTCTCTGGAGACCTGCTGATTTTACTCCTTGCAAGAGCTCCTCAGTCAGCTGCAGGGACAATAAAATATTCATCATGAGTGTTGAGCATTCTGTGGCAGCACCGCAGGTTTATTTGTATGC